AGAAGCAAACTAGAAACACAGACAGCAAGTGGTCATATGCTGCATGTTGCCTCGAAGTAGTGTGCAATCACTGCACAGAACTACTTAACGTTAAGGCTACATGCAGCAATGAAAGACAGAAGGGACACGGAGTAGGATGGTCAGTTACCTTGAAGTTGTCGAGTTTTTCAAACGTAGGGATGATCAGGCGATACATCGGTCCAATAGCTTCATATCGTTCGGCCAAGGTGAGATCACGCACAGTTCGTTCAACTTTAGTTGCTAGACTATCCTGAAAAAGGAGAATTTCAGTCTTCATGGTTTCGTCTAATGTGTGAGTGGTTGGTTGTTAATGCTGTTTAAAGGCAGTCGGCACGATGATTTCGTGCTTGGCCTAAAATGCTAGTAGGGCGCTATATAGTGGGGAAATGGCGAAAGAACGGAGTGAAACGGTCAAAATCCTGCGAAGAAAGAGCCTCCGTTCTCAATGTGTTCAAAATCAATTTTGGACGAGTTTCCCGTAGGCATCTTGCCAATAACCGCTACCGAAGGTACGGCTGCATATGTGTACTCATATATCCATGCAGCATCACGGCCGCTTCATACCAATCCCTTCGCTTCATAATTTGCTTAGCAAATGAAGCATACGAGCGTCAGGAACGGTCGTCCATTTGTGGGCGGGCGGGCGTGGCGGGCGTTCGGGTCGGAATGTTGTGGCTTGATAGGGCCCTTCCTTGGGAAAGGCGCTATGCAGCGCCTGCTCAGGGTCGCGGAATTCCGTCCTGCCAGGCGTCTAATTAATCCTACTCGTCTTGGGAGATTTATTAATCCTACTCGTCTTGGGGGTTTTATCGTACCAACTGCCTTCAAGGGGCACGACCTTTCTGGTCACCTGGGCTTCATTAAGGGCTACCTTTTCCAGAGCACATACTAGCGGATAAATGTTTGAAAATTGCCCAAAATCGAAGCTAATTCCGTGGTTCAACCATGTATAGGAAGCAGTTTTTCCTCGATGTAGAATCCAATGACAGTGTTTCAGTATCCAGTAACAATGGTAGCTTTACATCTTTCAGACTTTTAAGCTTTTTTGTGAAGTTCCTTATAGCGTTACCTTAAACAACGTTGAAGCTCTTAACAGAAGGGTTGGTTTCGCTTAACGTTGGGAGGTTAATTCAATGAATGTCTATGTTTCGAAATGTTCTTTTCTCCGAACGATTATGCTACTTGAAGCCTGACTTTCAAAACATCCCCTTAACACAACCAGTCCTCCACAATGCTTGTTCGTGGGAACTGGGTTCTTCGGATAATATCCCTTATTCACTGGGAAGCTCAACTTCACACCATCTCTTTTGCGAAGGCTAAGTTCCGGTCGGTAGCAAGACGGAACATTGTCTACGCGTCTTTGGGTAGGGCGAGATGCTGATGGGCGACCACCAACTGAACATTTTTGCACTTGGAGGTCACTGGAGGCTTCAAGGGGAAACGTTTCGGAAAGAAAAACTCGAGAGCTCATTGGCCTCGCTCAAAATTTGTCATCTTTCTCTCTGTAGTGGGCCACGCGAGATGAACTGGAGGAAGGGGGTGCGGGAGAGGGGGTGACCTTGCTCTATTGCCTGCACTGACTGCTGACCCTCCCAGCAACATATTGAGCTCAATGAGTATAAGTAGCGGTGACGAAATTCCCCAGATAAGGGAATTCATGATGAGATGAAGCTAGTTTCCCACCTAGAGATTCAAAAACATGAATAGTGGGAAACTGTCCAGAAAAAATTCATCCTATTTGAAAATAAAAACCCAGAAACACTCAGAATTGAATCTGCTGCAGACAAGTCGGTTCTGTGAATATCCCTATCTTATCTCTTTTGCTAACACTTTGCCCCTCATTTCCTTAGATCACACGCATTTTGGAAGTTTCAGTCCATATGAATGACGGATTCAAATTCCGCTTTGCCAAAAATGAATAAGCCATTTATTGTACAAAGAGTCATGAGGGCTTTGTCGCGCACGTTGCCCTATACTTCGCCACACTGAACTATTAGGTTGGCAAAGAAGTATTTTCCGATTTTTTAATTGCTATTTAACATAGAAGGATGCCGAGCATTCGATCATCCCTTCATTTATACAACCAGTTAACTTGGTAGGGTGTGTCGGTTTCTGTATGTATGTAAGTCATGTAGCTATGTATGTATGTCTGTCCTGCCGCCCAATTGTTTCACGCGGTTCGATTTACTGGAGGGAAAAACAACCGCTAGGCAAACCGGAAATCGGTTGGTGCAGATGTATCAATGCAATGTTTTTATTTTGATAGCATCCTCCACTATTATAGAGACAAGCGCATTCGGTACAAGGGTCTCCGAAGCCATATGCACGAGCTAGTGCACTGCCAAGTGGCAGCTGGACGTGTGCTCGTGCAGGGGCAGGGTGGGGTGGAGCCGAGGGGGGGGGCGCCTAGTGCCCCCTCCCTCTCTGCTTCCTTCCCCTGCACCGTGCCTCAGGCGTGGTACGTTGAGCGTGTGTCAAGTGAAGGAAGCAAGCGGAGGGAAGGGGTACGTGAGGGAGGGGGGGGGGGTAGCGCACGGCTCGAGTGGTAAGCACGGCTGCAAACAGCCGAAGAAGATTGAAGAACAAGCAACCGCGCAGAAAAATTAAAAATCCATTTCATTGCCATAAACAATTTGTCCGCAAAATGCTTTCACGGGTTAGAATTAGTGGAAGGAAGAACGACCGCTAAGCAAACCGGAAACCGATTAGGTGCAGATGTATCAATCCAATGTTTTGATTAGGATAACAGCCTCCGCTATATAAGACAACCATTCGGTAACCTTCGCGAGCCATTGCCACGAGCCCTGCTTTTCGTGGCAGCTGGCATGTGCTCGTGCGGTGGGGCAGGAGGAGGGTGAAGCCGAAGGGCGGGGGCACCGGGTGACCCCTCCCCTCTGCTTCCTCCACCTGCACGTGTTCAGCGCGGACATGAGCATGTGCAGGAGGAAGCAGAGGGGAGGGGATACGGTCAAGGGGGGGGGGGTGGTAGCGCACGCTCGAGTGGAAGCACGCAGCAACAGCAAGAGATGAGAAAACAACCGCCAGAAAAATTCCAAATCCTTTTCATTCTATAAACCATTTGTCCGCAAAATGTTTCACGGGCTAGAATTAGTGGAAGGAAGAACGACCGTAAGCAAACCGGAAACCGATAGGTGCAGATGTATCAATCCAATGTTTTGATTAGGATAACAGCCTCCGCTATATAAGACAACCATTCGGTACACTCCGAGCCATTGCACGAGCTGCTGGCATGGCAGCTGTATGTGCTCGTGCGGGGGCAGGGGGAGGGTGGAAGCCGAAGGGTGGGGAGGGGCACCGGGTGACCCCCTCCCTTCTGCTTCCTCCACCTGCACTGGTTCAGCACGACACCGAGATGTGCAGGAGCGAAAGAAGAGGGGAGGGTGATACGGTCAAGGGGGGGGGGTGGTAGCGCACGCTCGAGTGGAAGCACGCAGCAACAGTGAGAGATGAGAAAACAACCGCCAGAAAAATTTCAAATCCTAACTCTAATTTATATCATTAAGTGTGTCCTGTCTGTGTGGCGTGTATGTATGTTGTAGTGTGGCGTCTGTCTTGTGTGTCGGAAATCATAGCAGCGGTCCCATTAGCAGTGAAGACATTGATTGTCGAAGACAGTGTAATGTAGGCGCGTGTGACGGGAAGCAAGCTATATGTGGGTGAGAGGCGAGTGATAATCAGTTTGATAAGATTCCTATAGAGAGGCGTTAGACAGAGCAGAGCTCAGCGCATATATCATAACCCGCTGACAGCATACAACTGCCCCTGATACTAAGACATGATTTATAGCGGTACGGACAACAACTTATTTCTGAGTGACAAAAACTGCGAGCTGCTGATAAGATTCGATAAGGGGCTTCAGAAGGGGGAGGTCACCATAATCATATAGCCGCTGACAGCGTCAACTAGCTCTTGATTCTAAGATATGATATAGGGTACGGGCCAAGAACATTATTGGTGGGGGACAAGAACTGTAAGCTGCTGATAAGATTCGATAAGGAGCGTTGGAAAGGGAGGTCATCGTATTCACAGCGCAGGTCACAGCATCAGCGAGGTGCACGTCCCAGCAGGTGATATAGAGGGTGAGAAGGGGACATCAACCGTGGGTGACTGGAAGCGATAACTACTGATAAGGGCTGATAAAGGAAGTTGCAGTCGTCGTCGCTGTTTAAGATGGTTCACGCTACCAAATCATAGAGGTTTTGTCATGAGGACATTAATGACGGGTGACAGTAATCTATCCAATGCCGCTAAAAATTGGACGTTAGATACAACATTTTGCGCCACATTTTTATCACTTCCTACCGACTTTAATTGGCGAGTATTAGTATGCTGCAGTGTGTGAATTCCTTCCTGATGTCAACTTGAATCCATTTTGATGTGTTTCGTTACTAGCATGCATGAAATTTTTGTCCGAGCGCGGGGGAGGGGCAATGATAGTGCCGGCCTTGAAACATGGAAAATCAGAAAAAACTTTACCAAATCTGGCTGCTACGTGATTTTTTAGGAGGCGGCGCTTGCAATCGAAGCAAAATAAGGAGGTAACCCATCAATTGGGAGTGAAGACGTCCTGTTGGTGCAAATATTCGAGGCCTGTTGCCGACACACGGTTTTGACATGTTACAACATTGCTGTTTCGCTCTTTTAGTGGCCACCTCATGACTCCGCAGTGTTTCCGGGTGTGTTAAAAGGACTCATCCGGACTAATTTCAATCTTTACTCCCATTTCTGAGGTCGCACAACTTCGCCTCCTTACATGATATGGTGGCAGGCCTTCTCACGGCTGAAAGTCTGTAGTAAGCAAGAGGGGGCCCAGTTGTTGGTAGATAATGGGTGATGTTGAGCTTTTTTCAACCCATTCTCCCACATAAAAAAGTATAACTGCTACCGTTTTGCACATTTAGCGCATTCTACCCGCGCCCTCAAGGAGAGAGTGCCTGGCGAAGCCAGGTCGCGCCGGCCGAAGCCGCGGCGCCGACGCTGTGGGAAACAGAAGGAGCGAGCACCCGGCGGCCAGCGGGTTGATCGACTGGCTAAAGGATACAAAGGCATAACAAGTGCTTCGCCCGTTATATCAAATCATCCCTTTTGCGGGATGCGGCATGCATTCCACTTTCACTCAGAATCGTAGTGGCTCATTGAATGCGATGTGGCCTATGCAATGACTTGCGAGGGCCAGCCGATGTGCAGGGTGAAGGCTGGTTGGCCTGGCAGTGTGTCGACCTAAGCGGATTCGAACTCAGTGACCGCCGCGGAGTGGTAAGCGGCGCCACTTGTCACTACACCACCTCCGCCTCAATTCGAGTATACCTGGGAATATTCTGGAACATTCACGGAGCTTCGCCCCTATGGGGTATGTAAACCGTTTCACTTTCATTAAGCATTAACCATGGCTGAAATTACCAACACCAATATTCGAGCAATATTTTTCTACGAGTGGCGCCTATGAGACTAATGCAGCCGCTGTAGCCCGAAAGATCAACGACGCATTCGGTGAAAGAATGACTTCCGATACCGAACGCAACTGGTATAAACGTTTCGACGATGAAGAGACGCACGAGGAAGACCGACCTCTTAGTGGAGGTCCTTCAGTGCTCGAAGATTCGACAATGCTCGCCGCCAATAAAGAAGAGTGTATACCACCGTACGGCGTCTGGCAAGCTCTAATCAGTTACCCGACGGCATGAGGGGCCCGCCTGACTATTGTTTAATCTCTTCTCTTTCAGCCGCATCGCAAGGGTTTTCCTGGAGACCTGATTACTGAGGCTGAGATCCTCTTCGATGCCTACATTCATCGGGTTGTTTGGCGCGGTGAAGAACCGCTAACGCAGTCTAAGTCCGGCCTCCACCCAAAAAAGATATGCTCTCGTATTTCTGGATTTCAAAGGAATGCTTTACTACGAGTTGCCACTGCAGGGACAGAACTATCACTGCTGCCGTGTATGCTGATCAGCTCAAATCGGATGATACTGTGAAAGGAAAGCGCACAAGAAGAGCTACCGTCCACATTTTCCATGACAGCGCTCGATCTCATGTCGCTTCAACGACCCGTGAAAAATTGATGGAGCTCGGATGGCATCCCATTGCACGTCCACCTTCTCTCCAGACCATGCGCCGTCAGACTGTCATTTGTTCAGACCGCTCAAGGCGTTTTTTCGTGTGTGTAAAAAAACTTCTGATAAATATGATGATGTACCCAGCTGTTCGACAGCCACCGAGTTCTTCGACTCCCAGACTCCAGCTCTGGACAGGGGGATCGAGGATTTGCCTATTAAGTGGAGCAATGTTATTACTAATGACGGTGATTATATTGTTGATTAATTGTTACG